GCTTCTGCTCTGGGCCAGCCTGGGGCTGCTGTTCGTCTTCCTGGGCATCCTCTGGGTGAAGATGGGCAAGCCCTCAGCGCCACAGGAGGCGGAGGACAACAGTACGTCCCGGGCCGGCGCAGGGGAGGGCCCTGGGCGCGCGTGTCCACCAGAACGACCACCTGTTCCTCTTAGTGCCCGGCTGCACATTCCTGTACTTTGGTCAGGTGCCTCTTGCGGTCTTCTTATCTGCAGACCTTGACTTTACTTCCTCCAGCTGTGGGAAAGTGGGCCAGGATTACTGCATCTTCAATAATTTCTGTCTTCACTTTCTCCTATTCTTATTTTCTGCCCTAGCCTTCCCTACTAATCTCCCCCTCAACAATGTGCTGGAAGCAGTCTTCATTTGTTGTTACTTTTACCCTAAACTCTGGTTTTCCCTCTCTAGAAAAAGTCACACCCTCCTCTAACACAGTGTCCCCAACCTTTTTGGCACCAGGGACAGGTGCTCCTATGAGAATCATGCCTGATGATCTGAGGTGGAACTGAGGCGGTGATGCTAGGTGATGCTAGGTGATGCTAGCACTGGGGAGCCACTGGAAATATAAATGAAGCTTCTCTGGCTCTCCTGCCACTCACTTCCTGCTGTGTGGCCTGGTTCCTGATAGGCCATGGGACCAGTGCTAGCCTGTGGCCCAGGGTTTGGGAACCCCTGCTCTAACAGACAAATCCACTCCCATTCCCTTTTAGTTCTTTCTTCCCTTTTGATTTCTTGCTCAATAACACAGTGCCCATTTGAAGGCACTCCAGGTTTCACTGCACACAGATGAGATCTGGCTGAGGTCCTAGCTTTGCAGTACCAAAAAGGCCATGTGCTCCACTTCTTTGGACCACAGTGCCCTCATTTGTCAATGGGAGATTTTACTAGCCCTGCTTATGAGATATGTATGGAGGAAGCCGTTAAAGGATTTAAAGTGATATGATATAAAAGAAGACATTTATCATTGCTTGCAGCACCCTCATGGATTGTGTTAAGAGGGTCCTGTGATTCAAGGACACTCCCAGCCATGCCAATAAGAGGTCTGCAGGATACTCATGTTTCCTGAATAGTTGAGGATTTGTGTTTCGTAAAAGGCGAATTGGCCTCTCAGGTAATCCTGAGCTCTCATCTAACAGGAAACAACGTAGAGATCATGTCTTTATAAATTTAAGTATAAAGTGACATGGTAATTCCCCAACTTTAATATTCTTTGTAAAGCATGGATGTGATTAATACTGTTCCTAGACTTGAGCCAAGGCCATATCTTTCAACACCTAGCAAGAACAGCCAAAATGCAGGGGAAAGCTAAATTATGTCTTAGCTGTTGCAGCAGATGGATGTTTGGGTGTGTGAACAAGTCCGTGGGCACAGGGATCCCAAACTCGTGCACACACTCAATTTCTTGACTTCCGAGCAGTTTAACCACCCGCTAGAGAAATTAAACAGACCTGGGGGTGTCATGGTACTGTACTGGTACTGTAACTATGCTGGTAATGTCAAACAGTATACTGTCAAACTGCTGAGATTCTCAAAGACAGTAGCTCTTGGAGATATAATGGGATTTACCTCCCATGACGATATTAATCCCTGTTTAATATAATCCCTGTTAAATTGTTTATAATTTATAAAATTGTCATGCATGTGGCCTTGTTTGAAGCTAACTGCCTGAGTTAAGGAGAAAAGGCTTCATTGATCTTGTTTTACAGATGAGAAATAGGTTCAGAGTGGTTGAATTGCCCAGATCTCATGGCTAATCATTTTCAGCTGGGATTAGGACCCAGCTGTCCTAACTCCTAATCCAGGGCTGAGAAGCCCTTACATTTTACTGTCTGTATTTTAACAGGGCCTCATTTAGATGACACCTTTCTAATCCCCACCCTTGTGTTAGTAATAGTTCACTTCCCCTGAATTTTGAGAGTGGTCCCTTTTTGTACTCTTTCCTCAACCCACACTTTTAATTTCCTGTGTTTCTTTTCTTGGTCTCAGTGAAATTATTGCCAGTGGACTGTGAGAGAAAAACAGATGAGGTGAGTTTGAGTTTCTCTAGCTTTTATTCCTCCCGAGGATGTTAGCCTCCATCAGGAGGTAAACTTCCCCAGAAAAAGATCATAATAGGATCATTTTCAGGAGTGCTTCATGTAATGTACCAGAATCACATTGTGTTCTGTGATGTTTGTGTCAGACTCAATTGTGGCAGTGAAGGAGTACTTGAAACAGAGAATTGAACTCCCCAGATCCAACCCTAGGCTTGTTAAGGAAGCTCTCTCATCAATCGCAGAGTTGGGGACTTTGATCTTCTGCCTAAATTGACCTAGGGGGATGCAGTAAGTTGTGGTTGAAGGACCTCTCAAGCTCCCTGGCTTTGAGAGGAAGGGCAGGCAGTTTTTAAGTGAGAGGAGGCCATGTTCTCAATCCACATTCTCCTCTCCAATAGTACATCTGTGGCTCTGAAAATTCTGTTCTGATTTGAAACATCATGGGGTGGGGGAGGCCGTTAAAGGTATCTGAAGTAGAATTAGCCCTCTTAGTCTATCAACCAGTTTTATGAAGCTTTAATGTTTCCTACAAATAATATTTGGGGAAGGTGAGCAGCCCTATCCACTTAGGAGTCATAAAAGGAGCATTAGTGAGGAGCTAGGATGCTGGTATAGGTGGTAGTCTGGGGAAGATACAAGGCAATAAATTATCAGGTCATAAATCCTATCAGGAGGAGCCTGTGCTGCCAGAGGGCATGACTTAGTAGTCTAATTATTATCAGATGTGCAATGCCAGGCCTGCTGGGCCCTCAGTTCATATCTCTGGCAGCCGGAGGGGCTGGGAAAGAAATGACACCTGGTCATCTCCATGCCCCTGCGTTGACTCTCTGACTCCCATTAATGAAGAGGTGTCATGGTGCAGGTACCCAGTTTTATTTATCTTTGGCTTCTGCTGTTTCATATTTGGGGATGTTTTATTACATTCATTTATTGCATTCATCCCCCAAATATCTTTGCTTTCCAATTCTTTTGTAAAAACAGATTTGTAGAAAGTTTCATCTGCCTTCCATCATTAAAACTGCAACTGATGATTAGAGGAAGTGGCCCAGAGACATAGGCGGCAGCCAGTGGGGGAACTAGAATTTCAAAAACTGAAAACAAAAACATGAAAAGAATAACTTTCTGTAAGACTTTTTCCAGTGATGATAATTTTGTCTTTTAATTTGAAAAGGGCTCCCTGGTTTCTGTTTCTTGGTCCTTCACATCTCTAAATGTGTCATACTCATGACTGAATAACAGACTTGTTACCTGGTCCTCCTCTGAGCTGGATGTGCTTATGCCCCACTCAAGTGAGCCCAGACTGACACAATCCAGGGCCTTGCTGAAGACGTGCTTAATGAGCAGACCGGTTACTTATAGCATCAGAGCATGAAAAAGCAGGGTCTGGGCCATCATTGTAGGCTCCATTGAGCTGAGATTTCATGGGGTACCCTTAGCCTTCATGGGGGACGGACCAAGGAACAGGCAGGTTGGGAGGCACTTCTGGGCTTTGCCAAGGCTCTTGCTGAAAGTCTCATTCTTTGTGTGGCTCCAGCTCACCCAGAACCCAGCTGGGCATTTGAGTTTCTTTCCCTTCTCAACTGACTCTGAGATTGTATTTTTCTTTCTGCCTTTGTGCTGCTGAAAATGTAGGGGCAAGCTGGGAGTAGGAGTGTTGTCGTAATCAGGCTATCTTGTCTGGTACCTTCTGTCCTGTTTTCGTTAGGTGGAATTGGCCCTGCTTTGCCTAAATGTTGAGTTTTGAACAATGTTAATTGTTACTGCTTTTTTTCTGATCGTGACAGTAATTAGTGTAGAAAATATGAAAAATGTGACAAAAATCACCCATGATTCTGCCCCCTAGAGATAATCATCATTAACGTTTTGGGAGCATTGCCTTTCCATCTTGTCTCTGTATTTATAGAATTGGTATCTCCATATGTATTCAGTTACATTCAGTTACTTATTATCAACATGTCCCATACCATTAAACATTTTTTAAAAGTAGTTTGGGTACCTAACTCTACTAGTAGACACGTGAGTTTCTGAACATTTATGGTCATGTGTATTAATCTTGGTTACACCATTTTGTACCTTGTAAAGGTTTTCAGATCTTTAGGCAAGATGAGGGACAAATTTTGACCTCTGAGAGTATTAGAAACCAAGTCCTTCACATTTCAAGTGCAGGCAGCAGATGAGCCCTGAGGAAAAAGGTAACTTTGGTTCCCTCTGTAGTTGCAGAGCCAGGCCCAGAGGCCAGGCTCTTGGTTTCTGGTCCAGGGCTTCGCCCAGTGACACCTCAGAGGAGGCCGGATGTGTGGGGTGTGGACTTAAAGTTGACTGACCTAACTCCACCACTTAGAAGCTGTGGGATCCTTATGACTTACCTAAGGTCTCTAAACTTTGGGCTCCCCACCTAAGAAATTGTAGTACAGTAAGGACTATGTACTCACGTGTAAACCACTCAGACCAGCACCTGGCACTTTGTCCACTCTAAAGGAAGAAGAACCTTTTTTTAATGTTCCAAATCCAGTAAGTCTAGCAATATGGTGTCAATTCTGTTACAGGTTCTAAGGGACTAGATATGCATATATTTCTATTCCTATTTTCTCATCCAGATGACTCTTCTCCTCTACAATTTCAAGATTTCTAGAAATTTTACATTTTTAGGGATATCTAAAATCTAGTCTAAAATTAAGCATTTGCAGCAGACAATCCACAAAGCAGACAAATCCACAGGCAGATTGTAGACACTTGACTTTCCAAAAATGGGTGGAAATGGCCTGAGGTGGAGACCAGGTGCAGTAGTGCAGTGTTTTCTTTTCCCTCTGAGGAAGCTGGACTACTGCATTTCTCCACAACCACATCACCTCTGCTCCTCAGCCCCATTTAGTGGCCTTTATTCCAGCAGGAACCATGGGACAGAGGCTGGGGAGCCTCTAGGAAGGCAGGCGCTTTGTTACTATGTCTGCTTACAGCTCTGCCTCTGCTTTTATGGAGTTCCTTTTCAGTCAGTGAACCCCATATTTATCGATCCTATCTTTGGGCCCACCATTTTGCAGAATTTCTTTCTTTTTTTTTTTTTTTTTTTTTTTTTTTTTTTTTTTTTTTTTTTTTTTTTTTTTTTTTTTTTTTTTTTTTCTAAGTATTAGCTGCTTAGTACTTGATAGTGTGGCTAACGAGGTAAAGCCAGGCAGACAGACTCCCCTCTCACCCACCATCCTTGCTAACCACCTGTCCTGTGCCCTTTCAGTTCTGTCAGGCCAAGCAGAAGGCAGCCTTGCTGGAGCTGCTGCATGAACTGTACAACTTCCTGGCCATCCAAGCTGGTGAGTAGGTCTTGAGAGGCCCAAGATCCTTGTGAATGGGTTGTGGGCTGCTGCCGCGACCAGCCAGGCCAAGGGTGGCCAGCAGGCAGCTGAGATGCTCTGTTGTCATCTAGAAGACATACTCAGAATCTAAGTCTCCCCTTCCCCACTTCTTCACTCACACACATTTTTTTAAGCCTTGCATTTGGGCAAAACAAATTTGGTTCTCATATCACGTTTGAGGTTCCCAGTGGTCCTGGCACATCCACAGGCCTTTCAACAGATGTGCTCCCTCCTCCACATGCCCCCTACTTAATATTTTGAGGGTCCACATTGCACTGGAAGGTGCCAGGCCCCGAGCCTCAGAGTCAGGGTCCTCAAACCTGGAAGGCCTCCCTGCACCAGACAGTTGGCCAAGCCAGGTGGAGAGTCCTGTGCAGGTGGCAGGGGTCTGTATGGTAGGCTGAGCATATCCAGGCCCATTCAGCTCACCAAGGCCCTGGTATCGCATCTGGTCCTGATCCCCCCTCCCCACCGCCCCACCCCACC